CAAATATGGCATGAAGGGCTAGCATGATGTTATCAAGATTGAAGTAAAACTATATCTCCAAATCAAGGTTGCGCTCCTGATCTAGCTTGCAATTAAGTGCAGAACCATTCAGGTCAATATGTTCATCATACAAATCCCATAAATCGCTGTATAAATTCAGAAGCTTGCAATCCTAATGCCCCAACAATAAAACTGGCAAATATTGGCCCACAAAGTGTTTGAAGTCCAAAATAAGCAAATGGGGGCAAATACATAATTAAAATGTTGTATGTATACATGTCAAAAGTATCAGCTTCCAATTGTGATTACCTTTAATTCATCAGGCTCACCTTTAAATCATGACATTGAGCTGCCATTGGTCCTAAGAAAGGCGAAAACCCAATAAAAAACCCATCTTTGTGGGAAAAATTGGGGAAAATTCCTTTCCGGCCCCTGAATCGGCGACCAAGTTTCTTTTTGGACTCTAGGAGCAAATCTGTAAGTATTAATATGAAGAGTTTGAGATACACGTAGATGGGCAGCATCCCCTTTCTTACTTCCATGGCATCAAATCTTATAAATTCAAAGTATTAATACACCTTGAAAAAAAGCTATGCACCACCGCAATGCACAACTTTGAATCAATATGCTGGGTACTCTCCTGGTTACCTTTGGAAACCTGTACCATACAAAAGCAGCCATGTCTAATTTACCCCCACCTACACCAACATTCTCAGGGGTGGATTCAAACTTGAAAATGTGTTATGGTGCATATACCTTGGAGATTATACATACATGTGCCAGAATGTGTCCAGCCAAAATTATCCATTCCTTGTCGATATTTACAATGCTGACCAAAATTCAAACCATACATGATGTTAGATCTGATCTGGGTCAATCAGCCGCTGTATTTGCTACACTGTAACACGCGTGGTTAAAATGTTAGAAACATTCCTAAATCACATCAGTGACACAATACACGTGTCTTAAAGACCACCAAGAATATTACTTTCCATGCTTATTCTGAATGTGTCAGGAAACATCTATTGCATCCTGTGCCGATTAAATTCAAATAGATGTCTGTAGAAATTAACAGACCATGTTCGCAAAGTAGAAGTATGCGACTCCTTCTGTGTTAAGGCAGTTTCCTGATGAGTGCATTTAATTCGGCAACAGTTGATATTCTGCACGTTACCAAGTTGCTGAGCGATCATCAGTAACCCACCGACCTTGCTACAGGCTTCCGAACTTGGAAGACAACCCGCAGATCGAGTATTCAATGGTAAAAGTTCCTGTCCCCAACCAATTTGCAGCGTCTGCTGTGCCGTGGCATCCTGTAAAAAACAATACCCAAAGCAGCAGCTATCCATTTCATATATTTTTTTTTTTTTAAACATGCGTTTATTTATTGAGGCCCTATTTATAATTTGTAAATTTATTTGATTATATTGGGATTTTACAATTGCACCCATGAAGGGAGAAGAATGGTCAGGTTATAGGCCCTAGGCCTACTTATTTGTGTAGAAACAGATGAAGAAAGAATCAGCTATAGGCCTAGGCCTACTCAGATTTAATAAAATTCCAGCACTCGCCCGGAAAATTACTTGCTTGGTTCCAATAGTTTACTATAGAAAAATGGAACAAACCCACTGCAGGCAAAAGATTAGGAGGCTCCATCAAAATGTATCTGAGTATCTCCCCCATATTCGGAATATTCCGAATGATTGAATTTTAACCAGATCTGCCAAAATTCGTCAACACTGATATAAAGTGACACTGAAGTCAAACATCATCTTTTCGGACATTTATTTCAATTGTCATTCAACTTCACAACAATTATAGTCGGTCCATCTTAATTGTACCATTCAATTATCTTGGCCCTACTCAAAGATCAATCCAGCACGATCGATTCATTCTCTCCTAGTCCTACGGTATGGTTGGCAGTGAGGCCGAGCCTCTTTGAATCACGGGTGCGGAGCCCAAAAAACTTCACACTAAACTACACAGCAACACTGACAAAAATTGGCCCGAAACAAGGGCTATAATTGGAAAATTTTCACCTCGAATTCCATCCATAATAGCATGTTTGCGCATGATGTCCAATACTGTATAAACGCAGGAAACAATTCCGGGACCTGGACGTCATGAACAGCGTTCAGGCCTGCATTATAGACGAGGTTTCGCACTGCACTCCCGCGTTTCCGCAGCCAAGCATGCCGTGAACATGAACCTCAGCCGGTACCGGGTGGACTGAAATCTAGGCAGGGGATTCACCGACCGCACTCCGCCGGTCATAACGTCTCGTACTTCAGTGTTCGTAGACTAACAGCAGAACATAATTCAAGCACACAAGCTTCACTGATGGACTAATCACGATCTCCAAAACCTCACCAAGAGGTTGAACAAATAACTGAAAGTTCAAGTCAGCTGAAGAAACGCACATGAAGTAAATTAAGTACGATCTGTCTGACGATTTAGCAGACTGCAGTCACCAGGTGTAGGGCCCACTCTGTTCAGCGTACGGCATCACGCCCACGGCTGGAAGATCACTGCAGCCAGTTGTATAACAAAAATCATATACCATTCACCAAACGATGTTCAATTATGAACGAAACACCAATGGAAATATAAGCGAAAAACGAAATATTCCCGGAGCAATTTATTTTTGATGTAGCGGTCTCAAAAAGCTACGCCGAACTGGCCTTTCTTGCCCCAAATGCACTTAGCGCGTCAATGCGCGCACATGAACTTGATACATTTGTACCAACTTAGCAAAAAGCATCCATCCTTATGCCAAGAACATCGTTTTGGGCTTCATGCCATCAAGGGGCGGCAAACTGCAATTAGGCCAATCGATATGTTTACTTTTCCTACACCACAGCAACCATCAGCTGATAAAAGAAAGTGTAGGACTCAACTGTGCGTTTGTGGAGAATAATGTATTTTATCTTTCAGTGATAAAATGAATTATCAGAATTTATCAAGTTTACAGAAATTCTTAAATGTTAATTTGGAATTTCCGAGATTTATTTAAAAAGTGCGCCACGTTTAATAGGGAACACTCCGCCAAATTGTGCCCAATTTCCGGACGCCACCGTTTTTTAATTTCGGCTTAAATTTTATGAAACCGAAATTGTTCACCGAGGTTAAACAGCAAGCATTAATAAGGTAAAAGTACCAGTATTTCACTGCATGGATTTGAGGTTTGTCAACAAAGAGGTTTGGCAACACTACACGAGGAAATTTGGGTAAGCTTCGAAGTGCGCCACGTTAGGGAACACGACTATACTCCGTTCATAAAACAAAAATCTCTGGACTAACAACATGTTCGGGATCCCGGTTGAAAACAAAATTCACTGGTCCCGAAATTTAATGAGCACTATCATTATTTTCAGTACCTAATTAAGACAAATATTTTGGGGGGGGGGCTAGCACGGTGGATCTAGATTTTTTTCAGGGAGGCGTGCTGAAATGTAGACCGGTTATTTTTTCCAGACACTTAGGCCTCCGAAAATCAATAGGTGGGGGGGGGGGGGGGGGGGGGGGGGGGGGGGGGGGGGGGGGGCTCATGCCATATTTTCAATGGGGAGCGCCAATAAAACCCTAAAATCATTCACACTATTAACTAATGCACCCTTGTCATGTACATCACAATCCTTCTATTTGCTAATGCATTTTTTTTTTTTTACAGAATTTATTTTGGGGGGGCTAGACAAAAAAAATGGGGGGGGGGAGGCTACAACCCCCTAGCCCCCCCCCCACCCCCCCCCCCCCCCCCCCCCCCCCCCCCCCCCCCGTAGAACCGCGCCTAGTGTGCTGCGCAGATAATGGAGGATCGAGGATACATTTGAATGGGTCTACGGTTCTTCAAAATTGGCAATGGACAAATGGTCCAAAACAGTCTTCGTTATAAATCATTACCAAATCATATCTCTATTATTTCTTGTCCAATTTCAACAAATCTCTTGAGAAAAGAAGACTCTTGCCGTACAAAATGTACAGTGCAGGATCAGCGCTCTATCCGTTAATTTGGCTGAAATCCGATCTCGTGTTTTCGCAAGGTACCCTTCGGACAAACTGCATGGCTACGGAGGATTCTTATACCTCCATGCAGACATGCACCCGGACGGGAAAGCTGGAAATTTATTGCAAACAAAATGTGGTGTGATTACAGCCAGCGACTGACACAATTATAGGCATATAGGTTTGCCTTGGCCTAGTGCGTTCGCTACCCGTACACGTATCAACAACGAATTATTTTGAAATTCCAACACCGTTTACCGGTGTCAAAATCTACGGTCCCAGCGGACAGGCCAGCGGCACAAGTACACGTACACCCGTGAATTTCCAGCCAGCTTCACATAGCGCGTGTCACGTGATGCAATGTGCATGTGAACGATCGAACGATGTTTATGTATTACGCAGACATTTCTTACTATGGTTGGCCGTTGGGGCAAACCCAAAAGAATGATCCCCGATCTATAAATAAAATGATGTGTAAACTATCAAAACACTGAATAATCAATAGAAAGTACCAAAGAGTCAAATTATCTTCCTGTTAAATTCTGAACTTGCCCATTAGAATTTCGGGGGTAAAAGCTCTTGCCAACTACGGTTGAATTTATGGAGCATGTGGCTGTCCATACAAAATGTCGCTCAGTGTAATTGTAAACAAAGTCATGTCGTTGCGCGGAGTGATTTGCAAAAAGTTTCGCTGGAACTACGCTGCATCGAAAGTCCTGTTTATTACGTCACGATTTACTATGTTTTGTTTGCTGCCCCCAACGACGACTTTTACACAAATTGCACGTTCGGGTCGAAACAGGACCTAAAAAACAGCTCTCAAAAGTACCTTTTGTATCAATTTCATGAAAGAAACAATAGTCGTTTTTATTTCATCACACCCTAGGCTACATATACCCGGAAAATGACGGAAATGTCTTCGAGTATTCCACAACCTCTTTAATAAACCACTATTGAATTGAATTAAATTGAATTGATTTGAAGGATAGTTTTAAGCTATGGCAGGAGCTATGTCACTTGCTGGACGGTTGGTCGGTAGGTCTGTCTGTCTGTTACCGAAAATTGACCAACAATATTTGACCAAAATTAATTGACTAATAGCCATGCTGTCGTCAGTAAATTCACTCTTTACGAAAGTTTTCGGAACACGGGTCTTGTTTCTATCGATGCGCATGCACGTTTATTTTGCATACGTTTGTCCCCAAACATTTTCCAAAATAAACCCCCTAAGTGTCCCATAAATTATAGCTATTTGTTAACGTCGGAAAGATGTTCATGAACAGTCTGTAAATGGAAGCAAAATATGTACAGTAATGTTATAGTCCCGTGGTATTTTGTGTAGCGGTTGGACGGTATCCAGAAGGAGGAAATATAATGTCCTCAAAGTGGTGTTTCATATGTGCCATCGGCGTCGCATTTTTCGCCAGAGCTTATTGTTCACTTGCAATTGCTATTCTTGCTTTTGATTGTAGATCACCCACAAAGATATGGAGCCAGCATAGGACACATCGGCACAGTCAGCGGTAGTACGAACCCTACCATTGTTGGTTCTACTGAAGTTAATTTCACTTTCAACTCACCGAGGGAGGGACCAGGTAAATATAATCTTGTTGGACACAATAAAGTAGTTTGATATCTTAGATCAAGTGTTAATGTATATTTAGAGGGGGAATGGGCGGGGGGGGGGGGGTGGTGGTATAAACATAATAATGTCATTCAACTAGCTAGAGAGTCACCGATTTTTTTTGGTACAACTGTAACCATTTCAATGTAAAATTATGGTGGACACATTATGAGGACGCTATTTATAGTGGTTGAAGTCTTGTAATAATTTTGTTCCTCTATGGGTGCAGACCTGTAAATAGGCCCAAAATTGCTTACACAGACCAAATCACAATTTGTATGCCCTCAATTGTTGTTATTAGAGCATTTTGTGGGTTATGAACATGAAGGTCTGTAAACAATATTGGTTGATGACGTGCACAGGATACTGCTAGCTCGTACTTCTGTGAAATTCGTATCATGACAGTGGCTCCTAGAATTGCTCTATTTTGCAATGGAGCGCAGGCATCGTTTTTCAAAATGGCGATGGGCCACATGACTACTTTTAGGGGTGATCATCTTTGCATGGAAATTTCTCCAGAAAGTCATCGGCTTACCATGCAACAATTGACAGCAAATTAAAGATGATAAAATAAACTTTAATTTCTTTAATTTGATTGGTGTCCTACCTCTTGGAGAGTTGTAGGTTGTCACCACCTAACTTAATTTGGGCTTGATATGTACTCTATAATTTCAACTTGAGTTCACTGTGGTGACCCCGGGATTCATTCAAATCAAAACATCCAAATGAAATGACCACGTCTTCTGTTTTGAACGTATTTACAATTTATTTACAATATATACAACATCCGGAACATTAAACATACATGAGAAATTTACTGAAGTTTGGTTACAAGATTCCTTTTACACTCGGGATGGTATGGGCTTACTTATTCTTTCAAAACAACAATTATTCAATTACTTCGCAACACTTACTTTACTGTCAATCATATATAGCAAGAAAATTATAGTTCTGAAATTGAGTTCTGCCGACTTAATAGTTGGTGAAAATACGTGTTGCCCCTGTATTAGTCGCCAGGTAGTCTGTTTGTTGCCACTCCCGGGTCCTCACTCCCTAATGGTAGCGGTGGGCCTTCGGCACTGAACTACGCTCAGCTCGAGGCTCTGGTACGGCTCACTGCGGCCCTGGTGCCGCGTAACTCTCTGGCTACAGATTGGTGGGGAACGGGGTGGCCATGGTTATTGAAGTTGGTTCCTTGTTTGGAGCGGCTACAGGTGGGTGCTGCTATACCGGACTTCAGCTCTTCAGGGCTAGTGTATTTCGGCACTGACTAGTACTATAGTAATTTTTGCCGAACTGGCTCAAACTGATGATCGGTAACTGAAATTTCACCAATATATCAGCTACCCTGGATAAGTCATCGGTCTACACCTCATTTAGCACTCTCACAAACTCTCTCTCTGACTTCTCTGGTCTATACAGAATGTAGATCGTTTTTGCCCATTTTCTATATAAAACATACCAATTGTACATGCGTTTCAGTGTGAATAACCATGGCCTGCATTTTTAAGGTGTTACGTAAGTTGTTCCAGTTTTACAATACCTTGCGCAACGCCTGGTGCGTTGAATGCTCCTGAATGCCGTTGAAGGCTTTTGTATGAAACGCGACTGCGCGCGGGAACGATACTGAGTGCTAATTGGAGGGAAGTTCAATACGTCATTACAACGGGGAAAGTTAACGCGTGAATAGATTGACGTACGCGTAAAAGGAAAATACCAAACAAAAAAACAAAACAAGAACGGGTTTTGACATAGGTACTAAAAACAAAATTGGAACTTCGCGTATTTTTTTTAATGAGGTCTATTGGCGTTGATTTACGGGTCTGCAACCTCATACCAACGCCTCCCTATGTATAACACATCTGAAAAATAGGCTGAGTCACTCATTTATTTTGCATTGATGCATGAATGAATGGAGTAATGGGATGTTGGGTAAACATTTAATAATCATGGTTGATAACATGAGCTGTTGGTCAAAGAGACAAAAAGTCACATTTTCTACCACTGCGTCAATTCTTGATGACTCCAAGATTGCACATCAGGTGTGTGTTGGGTTCCTGTCCATTCCTGTCAAACTGTTGTCATCAGTATGGAACTCTGTAATGTGACATTTGATGTTGCTTTTCGACAGCTATATGCCACCGGTCTCTAACCATGATTCACGCACGGTGTAAGTGTCTTTTGTTATTGACAATTGCTACTACATTGTCCCTATCAACCATGTACACGGGGAAAGCACTGCAGTATACCAAGGATGAACTGATAATCATCCAAGTCAAAATGACCAACCCAAGATCTAAACTCCCCACCAAAGTGTTCGATAACATTAGATCGCTTGGTATCACTAAAAGGCACCATCAACATAGGGGTTGCCGGGGAGGAAAACGAAAAGAAGGGGATACGACCAAACACCTTGACAAGAATGCCCTAACTTTGACACACCTCGGCCTGATAAACTGTCAATCTGCTTGTAATAAGTCAGATTTGATTATAGATCACATTCGTGACTATAGCATTGACATCCTAGCTCTAACAGAAACATGGTTTCGTGCTGAACAAGATCGGAACACCGCTAGTATAACTCCCAAGGGATATAAGCTGGTACATATCCCCAGAAAAGGGCGTCGATGTGGTGGTGTCGGACTAGTCTACAAGTCTAGCTTGACGGCGTCTGTTGTCAAGCAGTGTAGCCATCCACCGCCATCTTCCTTTGAATCTATGGAAGTTGACATTCATAACCATGACAACAAGCACTTCCGAATCATTGTGTTGTACCGTCCACCACACAGCTCATTAACTACGTTCATGGATGAGTTTGCCTCCCTTCTTGATTGGTATGCGTTGTTCACTGGGCAGCTTATTATACTAGGAGACTTCAATATCCACTGGAACAATGACGCCACCACCAGCACCCCTTCAGCTAATGACCGGCGTTTTGGTAACCTCCTCACACAGTTCAACATGCAACAATTGGTAACCACTGGAACTCACACATCTGGTCACACAATAGACTTTGTGATCACACGACAATTCGACACCCTCGTACAATCTGTTGACACATCGGACTTTGTGTCCGACCATTGTGCTGTCCATTGCCGGTTGGACTTGCGTAAACCAAGATATGTGAGGCACAAAATCACGTTTCGGAAGATCACTGCGATAGACCCCACTAAATTTAAGGATGACATTGCCACATCTCCGCTCATCACATGCCCTGCAGATACGCCAGACACCTTAGTCGACCAGTACAACTCTGTACTCTGTAAACTGCTTGACTCTCACGCTCCCCCCAAAACCTGCAAAATTGTAGATAAACCAAAAATGCCTTGGTACAACAATGACATCGCAGAGGCCAAACGCAAGCGTCGTCAACTTGAACGACGCTGGCGAAAATCCAAGTTACAGATACACCGTGAGATGTTCCAATCGCAGAGAGATCTGGTAAAATCCAAATACAGGTATTACCAGACGAATTACTACTCAGAGAAAATCCAAGGCTGTGATGGTGACCAACGTGCCCTTTTTCAGGTCATAAACCATCTCCTGCACAAGAAAACAACACCCATACTCCCATCATTTTCTTCACCCTATGAGATGGCTACCCATTTTCTGACTTTTTCGACAGCAAGATCTCCAAGATCAGAAATGACTTAGCAGAAATGGATCCCGGCATTAATCCTGCGCAGGCAGATCTTGAATTTTGCCAATCTCCCCTCTTATCCTTAGCACCTGCATCAGACACGGAAGTGATGAAGATCGTCAAGAGTGCACCGACGAAGACCTGCCCTCTTGACCCAATACCGACATCGTTGGTAAAGGATCACATCAACGTGTTGATTCACCCTATAACACTGATAATCAACAAGTCACTCGCCACAGGTCACTTCCCGACATGCTTCAAGACAGCTCTCATCACACCCGTCATCAAGAAGAAATCACTGGACTCTAATGATCTAAAGAACTATCGTCCAATTTCAAATATGCCTTTTATGTCGAAGGTTGTTGAGAGAGTAGTTGCAACCAGGTTGAATGCACATCTCATTCAACATAACCTGCGGGACAACCTCCAATCAGCGTACACTAAGTTTCATAGTGTTGAGACGGCACTTGTCAAAGTTCACAACGACATAATGCTCGCTGTTGACAACAAAAGGGTTGTTCTCCTGGTTCTGCTAGATCTCTCAGCAGCCTTCGACACCGTTGACCATAAAATCCTGCTACATAGGTTACAGTATCACTTTGGGGTACAGGGATCTGCACTTTCATGGTTCAGATCATACCTCCAAGATCGATCTCAGGCTGTCAACATATCAGGAGAGTTGTCTGATCGGTCAGTTCTCCGACATGGGGTTCCGCAAGGGTCCGTATTAGGACCTCTGCTGTTCATATTATACATATCTCCTTTAGGGCGCATTGCAAGACGTCATGGCCTACACCCTCATTTTTATGCAGATGACACACAACTCTATGCCACCTTCTGTCCAAGTTCTCCTGGTGATGACACTATTACACACCGTATTCTTGAAACATCCCTGAAAGACATCCAACAGTGGATGACAGCCAATCTCCTCAAATTCAACGCAGCTAAAACACAGTACCTTGTCATATGTTCTCAGCACATCAGACACAAAGTCAACATCTCTGACATACACATAGGAGATACACATATCGCTCCTTGCTCTGAAGCCCGCAATCTTGGTGTCATTTTTGACAAGTCAATGAACCTTGAACGACATGTCTCTTCTGTTTGTCAGTCCTCTTACATACATCTACGACGTATAGCAGCAGTAAGAAACTCACTTACATTCTCTGCCGCAGAACAACTCATCCATGCCTTCATATCATCCAGATTAGATTTTTGCAATAGCCTACTTGTAGGTCTACCACAACATACGATAAAACGTCTCCAACTTGTCCAGAACTCTGCCGCTCGCACACTCACAAGAACGAAATCATCTTCCCACATAACACCCATCTTGCGCAAACTTCATTGGCTACCAATCCAGTACCGCATCCATTACAAAGTTCTCCTTCTTACTTTAAAGCTCTTCATGGTTTAGCCCCACTGTATCTGAAGGAAATGGTTCAACATCGTCAACTGAGACCAGGTCTGAGGTCGTCGTCATCCAATATACTGTTTGTCCCGAAGACTCGTTTGGCGACCTACGGAGACCGTGCATTTTCCAGCTCTGCACCGCGTCTGTGGAACGCGTTACCAGACGAGTTAAGGGCAATACACCAATTATCTCTCTTCACACGCCAACTAAAGACCCACCTCTTCAATCAGTTTCTTTCTCACACATAATGACCTCTACCTTCACACACACTGACTTTTCACTGACCGGCGCCTTTGAATGACTATTTTTGTCAGATACTGTGCGCCTTACAAATGCTTTGTTATTATTGTGTTCTGTACGCATCACCTTGATTTGGACTATTACCCTGCGTGTGAACCCTACGTGTGTGGAGCAGTTCGTACACACAAAAGAGAACCTATTGTTGACAATCATTCGTCCATGAAAACAATCCAACAGTTAAGCCCCTGTCACACCTTTGCGTATCCTAATTCCTTATGAGTTCCTTATCAAGAATTTTCAATACGCAGCCGTACGCTCAATTAACATCTAAATGTTTTGATGACTTTGACTTATGTGCGACGCACATCAAGCGTACAAGTAACGAATTCAGCGCATCCATTGCGTATGAGATGCGTATGAGTTGCGTATGCAGTGCACAACATTATTTTTCTGGCTGCGAATAGGTCAGTATGCAGTGCGCATGCCGAGCGTATTCCGGACGCACCCGACTTATGCCGACCGCATGCTTGACGCACTTCTGAGCGTATTCCCGCCGCATTTCCGCCGCTCGCCGTTCAGCGTGCGTTGCATCTGCGCTACAAGTACGCTATGTATACGTCCAATACAGGCGGCTCATATGCTGACGGGGTGCGTTCCGAACACATAGCGTACTCGTAACGCACTCGACCGATGCGGGACCGATGCGCTGCGTATTTCTAACTTATGACCTGAGTAACAGCGTACGCAGCGTATTTCTGTGCATGCCCAAAACTATCCTGCGTACTGGGCCGTACCATGCGTATATCTGCGTACATAAAACCTACACAAAACGATAGAGATTCATATCAGGTGCGTATTGTGCGTACGACTTCGTATGAAAAAAATGTCAATAAGAATTAGGATACGCAGAAGAGTGATAGGGCCCTAAGGGCCCTGTCACACTGATTTTTTTCGTACGCATAATACGCACCTCATATGCATCTCTATCGTTTTGTGTAGGTTTTATGTACGCAGATATACGCATGGTACGACCCAGGATAGTTTTGGGCATGCACAAAACTACGCTGCGTACGCTGTTACGCAGGTCATAAGTTTTAAATACGCAGCGCATCGGTCCCGCATCGGTCGAGTGCGTTACAAGTACGCTATGTGTTTGTGACGCACCCCGTCATCATATGAGCCGCCTGTATTGGACGTATGATACTTAACGTACTTGCAGCGCAGATGCAACGCACGCTGAACGGCGAACGGCGGAAATGCGGCGGGAATACTTGTACGCTCGTTACTTGTACGCTAGATGTGCGTCGCACATAAGTCAAGTGATCAAAACATTTCGACGTTAATTGAGCGTACGGCTGCGTATTGAAAATTTTTGATAAGGAACTCCTAAGGAATTGGGATACGCAAAAGTGTGACAGGGGCTTAAGAAGCTTTTGCTACCGAACCTGTTGTGTAGTAAATGCTGAACAGTAGAGGAAAGCTTTTATTCGTACAGAATAAAGCATTTGCCTTTCATTAATGTTTTTTTTTTCTCAAAGTAACTGCTTTTGCATTTTGCTTAAACTTCCTAGAATTTGCTAGTTTTTATTCATATGACCCCACCTCTCAGCATTATGATAACGTATGATTCCCTTTCTTTGCGCATTGTCTCATAATTACTAATGTTTAGGTGATACTTACTTCCGGTGTTAACGGAAGTGTTAATTTTATATCCCAATTTTCATATCTCACTAATTATCAATCAGAGGGGGTTGGTACCAAATATGAGCAAAGAACAACATTCCAACAAAAAAATGTCGCATTAACATTACCATGCAGTCTATTGCTCTAATGTTATGACGTCATGAATATTTAATAAGGCAATTTTATAGCCATCATTTCTCAGCAGTATGATAAGCTTTAATACTGACTCTTTGCATATTGCATCATAGTGTACTTGGGGTGTTCCTGCTCGAATGTCAAGGTAATTTTAACCCTAACTACTTCTGGTTTTACTGGAAGTACAATTATTAAAGATTATAATATCAATTCTACTGTGCTCTATTAACCCATAGAGTATACATGTATGTATTATTCCCTAGAGGGCGCCAGCCATACGCTAAGATTTATTACCCACAATACCTTGCGGTCCACCCGCCATACTTCCTCTTTTCTCTTAGTGGCGTTACGTGAACGACATATAATATTTACAGAGCTCTCGCTTTGTACATTTCTCAGTCTTTCCTCAGCCATTTTTATAGCGAAGTTCATAGTTTCAGTCAACTATTACTGTTTCTACACAGTTTATTCTCGCGATATTTCTTAGGCGTTCCGGGTACATTTCGGGAGTGAGTCCTCGCACAGCAAAGGTTACCGTTCCCTCCTCCCGTCACACGGTTCTTACGAGACCGTGTGCATGAGGCTTCGCACAGGCTGCAAGTAGCTCATGCCGTACCAAGCTAGCGAGGTTTCGCACAGGCTGCAAGTTACATCGCTAACCATAATTACATGACCAATATTAACGTGAGGCTACACACAGGCTGCAAGTAGCTCACGTCGTACGGAGCAAGTGAGGCCTTGCACAGGTTGCCGGCTACCCACTAGTATGCGCTCGTACGTCACGACCGTTCGACCGTTTAGGCTTTTGGGCTGAAAGTCCCTCATCACGCCGTACCGAACGGACAAGGCTTTGCATGGGGGAGTGTCGCAAGAGTTATAAGCCACTCACCCACTACTAACTGACCCATCAATGTGATATTCGCTTATTAGCCAATCCCCGGCATGCTGCACCGACAATCTGCAAAACGACTGCCGCGGTTATTCACCCGGCGATACCATTTTATTTAACCGGCAGTTTCGTTGTCCCACAGCTTTTCTGCTATACCAAACGATTGAGACTTTATACGGGGTGAGCCGCGAGTGTCGCATAAGTTGCAAGTCACTCCCTCCTTACCTACGCTACCAGTTACCGTCTAGTCAGCGTGATAACTCGCTATTAGCAAACCCCTCACAATGCACCGAATACTCGGTGCAGTTTCTTTTTCATTACGAACGCCGCTATTTTACCGGCGACTTGCTGTTATTTACCAGACATCTTTTCGTTGTCTCACAGCGGTGTTGCTCTAGTAGCAAGCTGCTCTCCCTTACCTTCACTACAAAGTTACCGACCCATTAGTGTGGTTAGCTTCTTAGCAAATACCTCACCCTGCACCAAACAAATTTGGGGATTTCACTTTCAAAACGAACACCGTTGTTAAACCGGCAGTTTCGTTTTCTCATAGTACATATATTGATCAACGCGCAAGACACCGAATTGTTGGTGCTTTCATCTTCAAAACGAACGCCATTATTTTAACCGGCAGTTTCGTCTCATAGCAGTGTTGACCAACAGGCGGGACTTCTCAACATTAACTGCAAGTTGTTAACTCGACTGGCACGACTTCCCGACCAGTCGGACTGAGATTTCGCTTTTAGCAAATCCCTCACGCTGCATCGAATAATTATGTGCTTCGCCTTTAAAACGAAAGCCGTTACATGTATTAACCGGCTCTTTCGTTAGCTCACAGTTACATGGTGTGACGCTCCAGGCGTCTTATTCTGATTAGTTAATTTATACTATTTGACAGGCCTATCGCTCTTTTCCAAACTAGTCTTCTGGCCGCCCCAAGATTGTACTTGCCGCCACACTATCCGGACTATCCACACTATCTGGTGATTTCCAAAACTCATCCAGGTGCCGCCCCTGCGGAGACCGACGGCCGCGCAACCGCTTCTGCCGCCATCCACTGGCATCGTCGGCCGTGTCCACGGCCCCAATACCCGGCAATCCGGGTGCCATCGCCCCTGGGTCCCTCTACAATCCGAGACTGATTCTTCTCAGAAGTAGAAGGAGAAACGCAAGTCGACAGATACAATCCCCATGTATATCAAATCATAGCTCCGTCGGCTACCAAAAAACAATTCAGAACCTGTCTGAAACCTGTTCAGCCTTCTCCAAGCAGACTGCCGCAGCTGATCCAGGCCCATCGTCTCCTTAGCTCCGACCGGCCCCGAATCCTAATAAACCCCACACGTTTTCCCGACCTCCAGACACTCCAGTCGTGTAGGTATTTACCCCTAGTTCCTTCGGACTCGCCTTCTGAACCTCCTGCCCTGGACCAAGATATTTCCTCTTCCCCGTCACATCGTTAGGCCAAACAAGAGGACAAAACTAAGCCAGCCTCCACTGACCACACTTTATCGCCTGGTACAAGACATGGCGCACTGTTTTGGGTTCTGTGAACCCAACACCTACTACACAGCCGAGATTGTTAAAACGACTAAATTGAAGGCCAGGTATATGTGGAAAAGTTCTCTACAAAATCATTTCACGGCATTTTTTTGGTAATAGCTGGCATCCTCATGATCTGAATGAGATCTGAATGAGACTGATTGGGATTGAATAATGTCATTGAATGATATCCACTGTATGTAATAACTTCTTGGCTTACGTTAAACAACCCTATTACAGATATTTTTCTGTGCTTGAAGTTAAAGGGGCAACTAGGTCCTGAAATCCCGAAAATGTCATGTTTTGGATTGTAAACCTATCTTATTTCAAACATCTGGTTGAATGGAAACCAACCCTATGTCTCACTGTTCCCGAGAAAAGACGGGAAAACGGTTGTTTACATCGGACATGACGGAGTACGAATACGCTTTTCCTGTCGTTTTCAGACAATGTACGACATACACGTTGTGTGTGTCTTACAACACCATGCTCGCGAACAGCGGTGACCAATCACCAATGCTCAAAATGTGGTGTCTTTCACAGCCGCAAAACACTTTACGGATAAAATCACAAATAGCACCCCGAACAGCTCGACTTTTTGGGGTCGCCGAAAGTCGTTCTCGCACGCATAATACAGGAATAACAATAAAAGCCCAGTTTTTAAAGGATAGTTGTGTGGATGTTTATATCCTACTTTCAAAATGTTCTTTCCGATTAACATCATTTTGTTCAAAGCACGTTTTGTAGCCCAATTGGGCTGTTCCAGGACGCAGTGCCCTTTAAGTATCGTTATGATAAATCAAGGTCTCCGTGGATGTCTGAGGATATCTACAGCTCTGTAAGGAAGAAAAACCACTTATACAAGAAATTTCTTAAAAACCGTACTTCACAGAACAAATCTAATTATACCTTGGATAGAAATAAACTCAACTCTGTTATAAAATTATCAAAGAAAAAAAATTAAGCAAAAAAATTATTCAACCAAAAAATAACATTAAAGGTACTTGGAAACTCATAAATTCACTATTCAATAGGCTTTAACAAAAATTGAACCCTACGTTTTTTCTGTACCAATAGTAACAAAATCACTGATAGCAAAGAAATTGCTGACGCCTTTAACACGTCGTCACCGACACCACGAACTGACACCCTCTGCATCACGTGTACAACAAAAAATTAAAATTAAAATTTTCTTTTTTTTTGCCGATATTAGCAGTTTGTATCATGAAGTTTAACATGACGAAGTTAAAATTGCTGAAATCATCTAAGAATAGCAAATTTAAAAAAATGAATTTTTGAAGAAATTGGTAAGTTCTTGTGTTTTTTGTTACCATGAAGTGACACTGCACAGGGTGTCAGTTCGTGAAAACAATAATTTACGTGTTTTCGGAGAGTGCGCGCATACAATAGCGTTAGGGAGTGTCAGTTCGCGAAAGCGAAAATTGACGTGTTTTTGGAGAGTGCGCGCACGCATGCGCAGTGGGTGCGCGCACTCTCCCAAAACACGTCAATTTTTGTTATCACGAACTGACACTCACTAACGCTATTGCATGCGTACACTCTCCCAAAACACATACATTTTCGTTTTCAAGAACTGACACCCGTCTTAATCGTTTATATAATTACTAATTAACTAAGAATATTTTCACAATATAACGTTTATAATTGAGTAGTTAAAGCATGTTCACGTTAAGTGATACTAAAACCTCTAAGATGGATGGATTATTTTACTGAGTAAATTCGTGTCAAACCTTTAAAAGCGTTTTTCTTCGATTTACATTTCTGCAACGCAGACCACCGGGTGTCAGTTCGTGGTGTCGGTGACGATGTATTTTGTTCACATAGGGAGCAAATTTGCCAGTGAGCTACCGCTACATAACACGTCCATGGAGGCATTCCTAAGTGAAAGGTGTTGGAATTCACTCTTTTTGACTCCCGTTTAATACGCAAGAAGAGATTGTGGATACTCTGAACAAAATTCCTCCAGAAAAGGCCCCTGGATTTGATGAATTGAACTCTTTTTATTTTTTTTGTTTATGAACAGGCCAAGTATTCATTAGCTTAACAGCTGGCTGACATCTTTAATAAATCCTTAACAGCTGGAAAAAGGCTCAGGGTATACCATTATAAGAAAAGGTTCCTAACATGAGATTGGAAATCATAGACCCATCTCTGTTTAATCAACATTTTCGAAACTATTTGAAAAGTTAATCTATACACGATTAATATCTTTTATATATAAACATGACATTATATAAACATGACAGTTTGGCTTTAGACGTAATCGCTCTTCTGATTTAGCGACATCTTATGTAGTTAACAAATTGTGTAAAGATATAGATGACAATCATTTTTCAATTGGCATCTTTCTGGATTTATCGAAAGCATTTGATACAGTTTACCATGATATCATGATTCGTAAATTATGGTATTCGAGGAATAGCCCTAGACTTGTTTAAAAGTTACTTATGTGACAGATCCCAGTATGTTTTGTATAATTCTGTAAAATTTACAGAACGGCCTATTATTTGCAGTGTACCACAGGGCTCTGTATTGTGTCAGTTATTATTTATCTTGTACATGAATGACATCTGCAATACTTCAGATATTATTACATTTTCCTTATTTTCAGATGACACAAGTTTAGGCAAAAATGTAGACTTAGCTGTACAGAACCTTAATCTTGAGCCCCGGAAAATCACTACTTGGCTTTTAAAAAGCCAATAAATTATGTATCAATGTTTACAAATCAAATTATATAATATTTTGTGATAGCCAGTACAAGCTCACTCAGTCTGTTCCTATAATTTTAAATGATACTGATCTTGATCAGGTTGAGGGTACTACATTTTTGGGAATACATATTGATGAGATTTTAACTTGGAAGAAACATATACATGTTATGACAGCTAAAATATCAAAAATATTGGTATAATGAACAGTCTAAAATATGTTTTACGTAGTAGCATATTACAAACCGTGTACAACTCATTTGTTTTACCGTATTTAAATTACTCAATTCTGACTTTGGGTAGTCTAACTCCTAAATGCAACAGACTGCTTACTCTGCAGAAACGAGCAGTTCGAATAATTTCTAAAACTGGCTTTTATGAACACTCTGGGCCTGTATTTTCAAATTTAAAATTGTTAACATTCACTGACCTGTATCATCCTAACTTAGGAAAATGTATGTATAAACATATGAATCGTGCATAACCTGCTTGTTTTAACCTCTGTTTTACACGTACTTCAAACATTCATTCCTATAATACCCGCAGTACTACTAGGAAAAATCTTTATGTTAATTATAGTACAACCTCATTGTCCGAAAATAGTGTCGTAAAAGCTGGCACTCTATGTTGGGATTGTCTGGATGACTCTTTTAAATCATCGCCCACTCTCTCTATTTTTGCTAGAAAACTAAAAACGTCTTTTTTTAAAAATGCATACATGTACTAAAGCAATGTAATAGGGATAATAACGGCATTGATTACTGTCTTACACCTGTGTCTGTGCTCTGTCTTTTAATGTATGTCTGTCACTTGTCTGTCCGTCCATAGGCTGGGGAACAAAAGCTGAAGCTTCACCCTACCTAGATGTTGCCATTTAGTTAATGTTCACTATTATATCAATTCGGGTAATTTACAATGCAGTGCGCCACCAAGAGTTTGCCACAGAGAGTTCGTTTTTCAAGTTTACGGTCGACAAAACATGGCCCATTTGAACGAGTGTCAATAGAAAAAATTGAGCTAAGTTGTTATAGATTGGGGCACAGCGTTCTGCCGCCTTACAAAAAACTCCATATTGATAAAACGAAAAGAAAAAGGCAAAAAAGATTCTCGAATCATATGCTTACGAACTTTCTGGCCGGAAAAACTAACAATTTCAAATGTCCCGCGCTGCGAATTTGTCGACCATCTCCCACAATGCACTGGGAAAAATGGACTCTTGGTGACGCACTGCATTGTGAATCGCCCGAATTGTAAATATATCTTTGTACATGTATTGTCAATTTGAATATGTAACATTATGTATCATCATTTATGGCAGCATTGAAATAAATGTATCTCATTAAAATCCATGCTAGATCAATTTTTGGAACCATATGTGGGTGGATGCCTTTGTTAATATTGATACTAAATATACCTAATTTACATAAATCATTAATAAATGCCGTGTAATATATTTCCCCCAACGTTGGGGATATTTTTTATTGTTATTATATTTTTAAAAATTCATTTTGATGATTGTACTTACACATCCTTACTTCAATAACATTTTCGAAAACATATACATGGAAGTGACTAAATAATTATGAGGACATATTAACGATCTTAAATGTCTATTATACTCATACTACAAACAGGAATCACGCAGGAGATAAGTTTGTTGTGTCTCTCGCCACAGCTTCAATGTTTTAATCAACCTTCTTCAACCGGAATACCAAAGATTAAGGGCAAACCGGATACATAGAGCACATTACCATTAACATTAAACATTAGGAGGTACCCATGACCACCTCACGTAGTTTGATGCTCACAAGAAAACTGATTGTGATACCCAAGACCACAATGACGATAGTGATACCCAGTGACCACTACCCACCAACAACGGCCGTTGTGAAAGCCTATTAACTCAAGCGATAAAACCAGTTAACAGGTAAGGTGCTATAACTTCAGCACTTAATTAAAAACACATTCCCCACAGCAGGCACATGTAGTGGGGGTATAGCCATTGTGGTAAATCATAGGCTATACATGTACATGT